GTGCTCTGTCAGTGCAGTTGCTGTTCAGCCGATATGGCCCGCATACGGATTTCAACTTTAACAACTTAACAAACTTAAAATTTGTCCATGAACAAAGTTTTCGTTAAAAAATCCTTGACCATCCATTGGCATTAATCAGCACCACATTCATTCGCACCCGAATATTCCCCATTGTCCATTACATTTGTGACGCAATTTAATATAAAAAAGTTACAAATTTGTTGTTGTGCAAGCTGATGATGGGCGATGGTGTTCCGACGAAAGTCCGAATTTTGCGAACCGTAAAAAAAATCACGCAAATCTAAAACTTCTTGAATTCAAACATTTTTTGAGAAAACTGCAACATTTCCTTATCGATGCTTCACTTTCTAAAAAGGCCATTTGGTTCTCTTTGGAATGATGTAAAAACGAGTTCTTTCTAGTTCTAATGTTTGTCTCTAATTTCTAATTTCATAGACAACAGAAAAACCCCCCCCCTTGAATTTAAAACTGGATCCGCCCGATGCTGCACGTGCACAAGTCCATAATTGATCACCTACTGCCAAATTCCTGCTTGTTCTCCAACAGAAAAGTTCGCTAGTAGACATCTAGGCGAACTGCTTTACAGGATAAATGTCTTGAACAGGAGAAATCTGGAGTATTCCAGAAAATATCCGCAATTTCAAAACAGCGGTAATCTAATTCGCGGATGAACCAATTATTGTATTACGCATCTCTTCCGCATTACCCGGAATGGTTTCGCATCTTCCGGCTTCTCCATCGCGTTGCTCCTCAGGATTCTCCCGTCGCAGGATGAGGAACGCGCGATTCTCGCCGAATGCTCCCGAAAGCCACAAATATGTCCTGTTCGGGTAGAGCTAGATAGGTTAGTATGTTCATCGTTTTATTGGTCTAGCACAGTCGATTTTATGTCGTCTAGCGTTCTACGCATCCTGGTTGCTACCCATTGAACGAACGAATTACGTAATGTCACAAGACGCATAGAAGTTCCCTATTCGTAGGCCACCACTGCTGCCGATAAGTACTAGTCCGGTGCTATGTGATTTCGATTGTGATCATTTCTACCACGCGGGTTTTGAGACGGTTTTAATCAAGGAAAGAAGTGTTTCTCAGCAAAGGAACCGGTACGAGAAGAGACTGGAACAACAAATACTATAAGAAAAACGCTCAACGATTTCACAAAATTATTTTTTCCAATAAATTCATCCGGGTGATACTTGGAATTTTTGCCAAAGAAAATTCCCGTTCAGCCGAAAGTCACGTCAGAATAACGATCCTCCGATTTTTGATATTACTCAAAACCGAAAGGACATTTAAAGGACTTTGCAGTATTGACTATCATGGTGCTATAATAGACAATTCTTTTTGGCGTTAAGGTGGCCGATGAGCAGAAACGCGTTGGGAAATTCGGGGGTGGTTTAAAGGAAAATGGGAAAACGGGTGAGGAAGACTAGATGGCGAGCACTTGATATTGCCGGTATGTGAATTGTATTTTATGCTTTATACATGTTTTTTCTAGGAGCTATTTTATGTTTTTGTACAGTGCGAGAAATGACAAATATTTCACATATATCTGAACATTAACGAGGAGCAAGGGACTTAATATGCATTAGTATGTTATTGATCAATCAATTCCGAATTGGATCCCAGGCACATGATATTTGATTTTTATTACCTAATGTGTAGTTTTCGCAATATACTGGGTTAAACCAATGAGGATTTTTTCAGTTCTCACTTTTATAATTAGAAAATATTTGCCCTAATAATAATTCAGCAATGAACCTTCAAAGTCTTCAGTTTTGTTCTCGAATATTCCTGAATGGTCGTCTTTACGCCATCTTTCGCCCTCACAGCTCACTCGTTTCGTGACGTAATGTATTGAATTTTTGCAATACAAAAATATTTTCATCGAAAAATCCATGCAAGTAACTTCCATACAAACCACAAATTTCTTGTAAGTCGGACACACAGCCGTTTATATTTCGTAAGTCTTGGATCAATATCAGATGGTTGTTGAGGGTGCATATTTTTCGAACGCCAGGATCTTCAGTAGCACTTGATTGATGATTATTTCCGATACAAAAAAAAACCGGAGGGAATCCGAAAATCGTTAAGCAATTATGGCCTGTGTCTAATCATGATTTAAGAATGATGAAATGAACACGGATATTTTTGGTAATCGGTTTCAGTTTGATTTGATTTTATCCAACGAATAAGGACGTTTTATTAATTTGCATATGATTGGCGATTAATTGATTTTTATTTGCTTTCTTCATTAGATTAATCAAATCACACTTTTGGGGGTTCATTAACTGTGGCAACTCCATTGGATTATTGAAACGTTTCTATGAAATTATCAATTATTTTCCTGTAAGCGCAACCACACTTATTAATTTCTTAACCCACTCCACTCAGTTTAAGAGATAATGGAAAATTATAGATATCACAAACCATATCATTGGCAAAAGTAAGTATGTACTCAAATAGGTAAGAGTATATCGATCTAAATTACTTTTTCCTCTTGATTTGAAGCACATTTTGCAAAATCTGAAATAATTGCCAGTGAATCTCAAATTTGAAGGAACAAACTTGAAGAAAACCTGGTTTTATCCACATATTTCTATAATAAATTGCACTTTTTCACCAGCAGTGACGCTAAAAAGTGTTTTGTATTGTTATCATTTGTGCTTTTTCTTTGCATCTCTTCCACTGCTTTATTTCAGTTTGTAGCTAATTTTCCAGTGAATATTGACGCAAATATGTATTATTTTTCCAATAATAGGGTTGTGAAAAGCGGTTATTATCTATTAGCAACCTGGCAAGAAGAGCACTTTCTACAAAAAGTGTCAATATACTTTATCATTTACGCCTTTTCGCGTTAATTGCTGAAAATACAGGAACACTTCGACGCATTAGTGTTAAACGATTGCGTATGCCTTCATTATTTGCTTATACGAAAAAATGTCCATAGTCAGAAGAATCAAACAGCATAAAAAATATTCAAAAAAATTAATAAAAAAAAATTAAATTTTTTAAATATTTCAAGTGCAGTTTGACCGAATGTTATAAGGGGCAATTTTATTTGAATATTCAAAATATTTCTTTTTTAACTAAGACTTTTTAATTGTAAACTGTACTATTTTATATGAACAATAAATTAATGATCAAAAACTATTTTGTGAAGTACTCGAACGGTTTTCCACAAAGCTTTCGACGAAATTTTCTTTTATCCGGAAACATTCTTAGTATAGAAACTACTTAGTGGCAAAAAGATGAATAGCCGAAACGGTATTCAATTTTCATGTTTTATAATTAATATTTCAGCGATTTTTTGGCTGATTATTTTGATAAAATTTGCTTTATTTATTTATACAATAAAGTTTGCTTTATTGTATTGTAAAAATGGCTTTAAAATACATACGGTACAACAAGAAAATTTAACCTGATTTTATTTTGCCTGCACTAAGATCGTCTTTTTTTCCCTAAAACCTAGTGAGTATCGAAAAAATACAAACGTATCAAAAACGCTGCACTGACTATTACAATAAACCACAGAACCAAAGCTCAATAAAATCGAAAAAAAACCACTTAACTAAAACCCCCATGAATCAGTTAATCGGTGACTTTAGACGAACGAAAATTTTCCTGGAAACCGATAGAAACGAGCCTCATCTAAATAACTTTATCAGTGTGTCAACAAAGTTCTAATGTCGCTTCAACTAGGAGACTTTGATAAAATATTCGAAAGCACAAGGTTGAACAAAGAGTCAAACAAGCGCTTTTGGGGCTTTAGATTAAGCGTTCTAGGGCCTTAGAAGGTTTTATAATACATTTCAAAGCCCCTAAAGGAAGCAGTTTTGTGTACAGTAACCGTAAATGTAAATGGAAAAGTCAACAGTGCTTCAGTAAAGTTACAGTGGATGAATAGTGTGAATATCGGTGTTATCTTCTAAAAACTTTTTAAAATTTCCTACATTGTAATGAAGCAAATACGAGGACTTAATGCTAGTTAAACACCAAATACTTACCTACTACATCATTGTGAGTTGGTAATTGCTATTCTATCGTGATGGTTTTTTTGCACTTTGATATCTGAACCAAAGTCCACTCTTGTCTAAGATCAAGCAAGATTAATACCATTCCGGCTCGACACACCTCCGTTTGAAGGTCAATTATCGTGATTTGAATTGCAAACTGAGACAAATCTGAAACATAGTTAAATGAAGAAGATTAGCACTATTTCAAGTTTACAGCATTGTTAATGGGAGCATAGTAGGAACATTCCGAGAATCATTGTTATGTAACTTCAACACCAGTGAAATATTGAAAAGCACTTTTTTCAAGCAGATTTACCTGTGAAAATAAAATAAACTAACTAAAAATACTTCGTGGGGTTTCAGATCTACTAATTCCGTTCGTTCTAAAATATTGATTTTACTACATACATTAGCGAACATAGCTAGTGTGTGCAACACTTTCGAATCAAGTCCCCTCAAGTAGAAAGCGATTAGTTCAACCCAAATTAAAAAAAATCTGTTGAGTTTTTCAATCAATTAATTTAGCACCCTCGTAATATAACTGATGCGATCCATTAAGGGCCGGCATCTTGGCTACTGTGCTTAGGAGCGAGAGCGACATATCAGTAGCCATGGAAACCACTCTGTCTTCGTTTCTCGTTGCCGATGTACCAGGGCTGATGGGAAATTAAGTTTACGAGAGAAAACTTGAGATGTTTTTCTCTGTTAATTGGGCGAGTTACAAGGGCGAGAAAATCGAAGGAAAAAATGTTTTTCATTCGATACTTCAACAATCTAATCGATTGAAGAATTTTGCCAAAGCAGCACGAGTGATTTGTATCTTCACAAATGGTTTGCTCCAAGAAAGTTGTCCGAAACTTTAGAGGAAGAAACCGCTAGAAAAAAAATCAATCTAAGCAAGCAAGTTTGCCCCGCCTAAAAGCCTGAAAAACTTCAGACAAAAGTCTTGAAACTCGTGAATCTTATCTAGAAACAGTTAGAGTCGGCTAGAGAAAAAGATCTTTAAGCTAGTGAGTTTGTCTGGTTTTGACGCCCTCGTCGCACAGAAACAGAAACCCAACGGTGTTTTCGCCGGGAATTTGGGACGCTGATAAGTGTTACAAAACGGTCAAATTTTGCTTGTTGATTTTTTGCAATTATCTGTTTCCTTTCCCAATTAATATCCATTGGATAAATGATGTTTATACATTATTGAGATCTCAATTGCTGATTGATCCATGTCAAATGCCTGTAAGTATTTCAGTTTCACGTTTTCATTTCGATTCCGTTTTCTTATCGGAATAATAAACACTGTTAAGTTGCCCAACTCAATTTTGAGCCGACCTCAATTCGTCAGGGTAAAGGTTACCATTGGGTTCCATTGTTCTTGCATCCAAAGGATGTCTTTAATCAATGTCATTTTCATTGAGAATCATCAACTGTCGATTAAAGAGTTCTTCACTTTATATCTGAGAAAGTTGAACAATTTATTATCTTTAGACCGAAAACAGGAAAATGTTTCGTCTACCACTAAGGCGAACTTAAAAGTTTCTTATGTTTTAATGGAAGCTTTTTTCAATATCGATGCACTTTTTGCACAACTTTAAAAAGTATCACATCGCAAATTAGCTAATTTGGGTAGTTTGCTTATGGCGATCGATAGGTCACTGTTATGACCCAATGCCAGAGTTTAACTGTGTTTTTTTGGCCGTTTGAAAAAGTTAAATTATTGCACGATCAATACTGTGCTATTATAATGATGGGCCCTGCAACATCTAATTATAAATTTAATAAGATTAGACTAATAATACAGCAGCTGCTGGATAGGTAAGCGCCAAAATTTGCTCGAGTTTACTTTCAACCACTAATTAGTATTTTTAGAACGGTAACGATTGGTGATAATGGGCGTTATTTGACGTGCAATAATGTAACTAAATGATTTATAGGCATTTGTTGTTTGAATTTTTGTATATTTATATGAAAAAAAAAACATTCCCTATCACATTTTCTTGAATTGACAAATGTGCGTGGAACTTGCAGTCCCTCGTATCACTTGATATGACCGCAATTATGTTGTATAACCGCATAATCGCAACTTAGCAGTGACGAGGAAATCTTCATAAGCTTATTTACAGGCCGTAAACTAAATTTATCGTCGTCGTAAATCTCGAAGTTTTATTTCCAGTCATTGAAAATGTGGTAAACCTGAACCCGATGCAATTAAGTCTAGTAACCACTTTGGTTCATCCCAAAGAAAACGCGCCTGCTAAATTTACATGAATTCGGCTATTTTCGCGCCAGGTCTTTCACACTGAGCTGTTTTTAATGTAAAGTGCATATTTTACAAACACCCATACATTACAGTCATTTGCATGTGGTGACACGTCTGGATTTAAATTACATTAATTCGAATTTATTCGTTTGACCGACGATTCTATTAATATAAGACAAACGATGGTCG